TTCTCAGTTTTTAACGAGGGAAACAGGCAACGTGTTCTTGTAACCTTTATTTCATGAAGGACTACTTTTTGTTTCTAACTATAAACTTGGATCACCTATGTTAAAACATTATTTCACATTCCACATCATTTTAGAATTTATTTTCAAAGGGGAATAGTTTCAATGTTTTATTCACTTGGGCTTTTTTTCTTCCCCCTCATTCTTTGAAGAACTGCTTAATATTCAATCTGTTGTGAAGAACCTGATTTGCACTCTGTAGTGTTTAAAGAAACAAAGAAACTCTAATACTGAATCTCTTAAATTTAGTGTATGTAAACAGCTTAATATGTATTGTCTAAATGCATTTAAATCTCTTTTATTCAAAGAAAAGCTAAAGCAAAAATACTGGTATATGACCATGCAAGACTGTCAATGCCAACAAAGACAACACTAATCAGCGTATCCTACATTGGATTGCAGTGCTCTCCAAATTATTTGAAAAATGCATACAGACAACTTGCCTGATTTTTAAATGAGCATAAAAGGCCCTCTAACCTATGCAGGTTTCCCCATTATGCATATAGAAAATGCTAGTGTTTTGCTCACCTCATATGTAACAGGTGCCCTTATGTTGTGCTGTATCCTGTGCTTTTTCTGTGGGACCATTCCATTCAGGAACAAAGAGCACCATGATTCCAATCTTGTGTGTACTAACCCTTCCCTGAGGTTTGTGTATGTTGGATATTGTGGTGTTTTAGATCACTGAGTGTACAGAAGAGAGAAATTCAAACAAAATATTGCTGTTCTTCAGTTTTGTTTTGTGGAATTTGAAATTACTCAAATTTAAAATAAATTACTGGACTGTGGAAATAACATGTAGAATTGCAGTTTCAATTAAATCTCTCTCAAACCAGAAGAACAGTAGTTTTGGTAGTTGCATATTGGATACTGAGACATGATTCAGGGAGGCATGAGAGGAAGTGGAATGAGGATTGGGACATGTGAAGAAATTGTGTATTATATCATGTACATTCCTGTAGTTAGTTAATAAGGTAATGTGCAGTAGTTTAAAGAACCAGTCACTACTAGAGTGGGCTACATCTCACCTATCTCTAACATTTTAACCAAGCAACAAATTTCACTTAATATAACCTAACATCCATGATTTGTTCATTTTACTTGGAATAAAATATATTTGAACATGTAGTTAACATGCTGTTTCTCACCATGAATTATAAAGGTGCCCAAATTATGGGTATTTTAAGTTGATTTTTTAAAAAAAACTGGTATGTGGGCCGGGCATGGTGGCTCAAGCCTGTAATCCTAGCACTCTGGGAGGCCGAGGCGGGCGGATTGCTCTAGGTCAGGAGTTCGAAACCAGCCTTAGCAAGAGCGAGACCCTGTCTCTACTATAAATAGAAAGAAATTAATTGGCCAACTAATATATATAGAAAAAATTAGCCGGGCATGGTGGCGCATGCCTGTAGTCCCAGCTACTCGGGAGGCTGAGGCAGAAGGATTGCTTGAGCCCAGGAGTTTGAGGTTGCTGTGAGCTAGGCTGATGCCACGGCAGTCACTCTAGCCTGGGCAACAAAGTGAGACTCTGTCTCAAAAAAAAAAAAAAAACTGGTATGTGAATTCAACTCTTTTGCCTATGGCTGAGAATGTTCCTTAATAGTTACACATAGCCCCTTGCCTAGCCTTGTATTGCTCTACAACTATTTAGGCAAACACCATAAGCTCTGCTGAAGAGTTTTTAAAAACTTAAAACTCCTGAGCTCTTTCCCCACCTTTAATCCTCCCCCTGCCAATCTTCATATAGGAAATCAGAGTATTAGCTGGAAAATTCCTATCATAGTGAAGACATGTTCAGGCCCCGGCTGGACCATGTGTTCCTGGATCTCTGCTCCCTTTCTTCATTGTTAAATAATCAAGAGGGAGAACAGGAATGGTCCCTAGAAGCTCATTCTTTTCAGTGTCAAGATTTGTTCTGGACCTTTCCTTATACTTCCAATCAACTGGTTTTCATCACTGGGATGATTTTTCTTTTCCCTCATAGAAGCAAATAAAAATACTTTAGTAAAGGTTTTCATATAGCAAACTTAAATTTTTTTAGGAACATGTTTTGTTTTTGTTTTTTTACAAATTGCCATCTTAAGCCATCCATACCTGTCTACAATAGAAAGAGAAACCTCTGTGATGTATGACTTAGGTTCAAACCCTGAGCCAAGTTGAGCTTCTGAGCTTGTTTCCTCATCTGTATATTAAAACTGAGTACTTTTCAGAATTATTTGGCAATTATCTTTAAATCACAAAATGCCTAGTCCAAGACTGGACAATTATAAGTGTACATTAAATGGCAAAATTAACTGGTAATAAACTCTATTTTAAGCCAAGAATCTTCCCTGACATCACTGAGTTTATCAAAGATGATATTCTAGAAGAAACTAAAACCAGACAAGGGTACTAAAAGTTCTTACAACTCTCTAAATGTAACTTGAACAGGAGGAAAGAAAGGGAGATTAATGGAAAGCTTTCAAGTGGCAAGCAAGCTTTCAATCTTGTCTAGTATCCAAATATAGCCACTGTACAAATTGATACTTGTTGAAAACTATATCAACGTGGCCATTAGTACAATAGTGCGAGACTAATGATCTCCAAGTAGTGTTGCTTGACTTTTTTGTAAATTTACTCATGCAGACATTCTCATTCTAGATTTTAATACTCTTAAATTATTAAAAATCTCAAAGAGCTTTAGTTTGTCATTTATATCTACTGATATTTACTATATCAGAATTTTTAAAAATAATCCATTTAAATATAACAGTAATTAATACATGTTAACAAAAAACCTTATGCACTGAAATATGGAAAATATTGATTTACGAAAATAGTTCTTCCAAATGTTGGCACATTTTGCTATATATTAATTTGTAAGGAACATTGACCTCATCTGAAAAGTCGTAAGTTTTGGGGATCTTGGAGGAGAGAGGCAGATTTTGGATCTTGGAGGAGAGAGGCAAGTTTTCCAAAATACTGTCAGTTCTTTTCCTTGAAGTGACTGGCTCAGATGATCTATGAGAAAATGTCTCAAATACCCAGGTTTGAGTAACTATAATTTGTCAGTTCTTACAAGTAAAAATGTTCCATGACAAAAGCAGCTAGTTCAGCTCATGAAATCAGTCTCACAAGTCCTTTTTCTTAAACCAACAGCCATACCTTGGTGTCCATTAGTGTTTAATGTTACACAGAATGTTAAGACAAATAATCCTAGGCCAAAAACAATTTTTACTGCTTCATTTAAGTGAAGCTTAATGAATGCTACCAGGTGAAGAATACAATGGTATTTGTGGGACGTGCCAGCAGTTTTCCCTACCGTTGCTTTTGCATCACCAGTGCAAAGTGTTAACACAGGGAAAAGAAAATGGCTTGGTATGATGAAAATAGTTTTCACCCTGCAGAGACCCCATGGGTTCTGCAGAGTATACTTTGAGAACTGTAAGATTACAAGTCCCATAAAACACTAAGTATAGGTGAACCAGAAAGCAAGTATATTTACAGATTTACCAGTTTTCTATATTTATTCATCCTAGTAGATGTGCTATGCTTTATTAGTTACTTGAGCCAGCCACCCAGTGGGAATGCACTGAATTTGGAGCCAGCAGTCTGAGGCAAGCCACAGAAATTACCTGAGCCAAAATCATGCATTTAGGATTGAGTTCAACTCAGCCCTACATGTTGCATGTTATTGCATCACTTTTGAAGGCAGTATAAACATTCTGTTTAGAAACAGTTGCTATTGTGGCATCATTCACATTTGCAACTTCTGTGCTGTCATATACCTATGTAAACTCTAAAATGGACCAAATATTAGAACTTTAAAGACTGGCTGTGGTAGTCTTACTGTTCTGCCCACAGACTCCACCAATGACCTGAGACCCTGTGTTGCCTATGTTGTAGTTAACCATGGAGTGTTAGAGCCACTTAAAAGAGGGCTATTACCAAAATTCTCCCTTGCATCACTATAGTTTTTAGGGATATACTGAATTTAGAAATTACTATCAGGATCCTCCAAAAAGGCTTTAAAGAAAAATGAATTCTAGCAAGACAATCAGGAAGCTATGTGGCTTTGGGGAGTTGAGGTTTTCTGCTTCATATTCTGGGCAGCTAGTATAACAGTAATTATTGGAATTATACTAAATAAATATAAGAAGCAAAAGGGGGCTGGGTGCAGTGACTCACACCTGTAATCCTAGCACTCTGGGAGGCCAAGGAAGGGAGGATCGCTTGAGGTTAGAGGTTCAAGATAGCCTGAGCAAGAACAAGAACCTATCTCTACTGAAAATAGAAAAAAATGAGCCAGGTACGGTAGGGTAGCCCACACTTACAGTCCCAGCTTCTTGGGAGGCTGAGGCAGAAGGTTCACTTGAGCACAGAAGTTTGAGGTTGCAGCAAGCCATGATGATGCCACTGTACCCTTGCCAGGGTGACAGAACAAGACTGTCTTAAAGCAAAAGGGACAAAAGACACCTTAATAGTCTAGTTCTAAGATAAGAAGCATCAGGGATAAACTACATTTATTTCAATTACCATAAATTCTTACATGGGCCCACTCATGTCCATCTGCAAGGTACATATGGTTTCTTCACAAGTTTCAATGGTTTCATTGTTAGAGGAAAGGGGGAAGAGGAAAGGGAGAAAGTAGAGAAATTTTTATAAGCTATGATTTAGAAAAACTGCTGCTAACCTTTGGCCAATCTGAGTCAGGAAAAGTGAACACGAAACACTGCACAGGTGCATTCTATCACTGCTATAAAACCTTGACTTTGAGACAAAAATCCAAACAGATACTAAACCATGAGATTCCATTGTAGGTGGCTGTACCATTTTATCATGACCTGTTTCTCTCATCTTAAATATTTGTTTTAGCATCTATCACCTGAACCACCAAGATCATTTAACCAACAGTAATTTTTTTAAGCCTAAGATGACCATTCTGTAAGTGCCAAGTGCATGATGGAAGAGCACAAGAATGGCTTTTATTTTCATCTCAAGAATATTTAAATCAGGGAAGAAATCCAGTTTTTATTGTTAGAATTTGATAGGCTTCGAACGCATGTGATAGAGGAATTGTTATCATTAAAAATCCACCTAGTAGAGTTTTAGGTGACCAGTGACTTTGTCTATTAGGTCTGCTGGTCCTGGCCCAATTCCTAGGACAGTTCGAGAGCCTGGTGCAATCTGAGTACGCCCAGCATCTTGAATTAAACTCACAATCAGTCCCAGCATTTCCGCGTGGGTCAGTAATTCAACCAGGGTTTCTTCATCAGGAGCTTTGACCACTACTTTGGGCTGGCCACAGTATTCCCACTGTTTGAGCACTGCAGGGTTTCTCCTTTGAACTTGCTTGTAGGCAGAAACAGCAGCATGAGAGCACTGGGCAGCCACTTTTCCTTTTCCCATCTTTAAGTCGGTTCGAACCACAAGAATCATTTTGTACTCCCCATTTTCTCCTAAGACGCTTGCTTCAGTTCCAGTCTCTGTGTCTGTCTTGCTCGTCAAGCCTTTGGAGAGCATCCCAAAGCGTACTCGGAGGCCCCAGCCCAGGCACATGCCACAAGCAACTCCAGCAGCCAAGGTGAAAGCACCAGGATTAGCCAAATATTCCATAACCAAGGATGTGGAGGGCATCTTAACAGAAAGGAAAAAAGTTATCACCATCTAGCCGTAGTAAGGTATAGGCTTATCAGGCAAACACTTGGACTATAAGCAGCAAGCAGCATTTTAGAACTATATGAGGTCATCCAGAAAAATGGCAAAATATATTTTGGCTCTTATGCATGCAGCTTATTTCCACTCCCCACCTTTCACCCCCGTGTACTAGAAAAGAGTCAAGCATCCACATGAAGCAGTTTAAGTCATTTTGAATCTTATTTTTTTTGAGACAAGGTCTTGCTTTATCACCCAGATGGAGTGCAGCAGCACCATCACAGCTCATTGCAACCTCAACTTCTGGACTCAAGTGATCCTCCTGTCTCACCCTTTGCAATAGCTAGGACTACAGGCATGCACCACTGTACCTGGCTAATTTTTTTTTTAATGTTTTTGTAGAGACAGGACCTTGCTATGTTGCCCTGGCTGGTCTTGAACTCCTGGCCTCAAGCAATCCTCCTGCCTCAACCTCCCAAAACTCTGGGATTACAGATGTGAGCCACCACACCTGGCCATTTTGAATCTTAATGTGAGCAAACTCACAAGTTCAGAAACTTCCTCAGGCTTTCCTAAATCTTATAGAGTAATGAATGTTCTGGTTTACCAAGATGCCTAAAAGATCTAAAGAAACCGAAAATAACTCACGCCTTTCTTGGAATACAGTGCTAATCTGTGTTTTCACAATGCAGTTGTTTTCAATGGAGAAGGTATCAAAGAAGTTCCCCTGGAAGGACCTCAAAGAAGTTTCCCATTGTCATGTTAATGGCTTGGCATAAGCGCCTTACTAACATTTACTAGGCCTGAGCAAAGATGCTAAAAATTGTGCAAAATGAAGAGTTGTGCCATTGAGCATTAGTGCAGGTGAAGAACTTAATATCTGAGATTATAACTCCATTTTACACATGCACACAAAATATTTTTTACAGTTTTAACATATACAGATGCTCCTCAACTTACAATGGGGTTATGAAGCAATAAACCTAATTTACTGAGCACCAAAGCTTAGCTTAGCCTACCTTAAACATGCCCCCAAAACTTAACATTAACATACAAATGGGTAAAATCATCTAATACAAGGCGTATTTTATAATAAAGTGTTGACTATCTCATGTAATTTATTAAATACTATACTGAAACACAAAATGGTTATATGGGTACTCACTATTAACATATACAGATAAAAGCACACTGGGCCCGAAGAATGTTTGAAACATTGAAATAAAATTAATTGCTGGATGATGTGAATGCTACAGTAACATGGTCATCAATTTCTCTCTTTTCTGAGGCTTGAGAATAGCTGGTAGAAGGCACTGGGGCATCAATACTTGCTGATGGTTTAACAGGCATAGTGTTCTTCAGGAAGATATCAAGTTCTGACTGTACGGTTTGTTTCTTCTTTTCATTATATATTTCTCTATAGCAAGCAAGAGCATCCTGTATCTGCCTGTCAACTTTTTTGAATCTCTCATAATTGCCATCCATTTTTTCTAACATCCGCATACCACTGCTGATAGCAGCAAATGCCTCTGCCAGCTGCTTTACTGTGAAATTTCTTGGTGCCTTGGGTATAACTTCTTCCTCTAGCTCAACTTCTTTAATTCTTTCTTCCTTTAGTTTGATCAGCTCCTCACTGCAAAGATCTTCAGCCACAATCTTCCTATGCAACTGTTCCTTAAAAGCTTTCGCACCTTCAGTATCTGCACTTGTTGCCTCACCACTGACCTTCACATTATGAAAACTGTGACGCCTTTTGAAGCGCTGGAACCATCCATGACTTGCTTTAAATATCTGTGTATACGTAGGGTCACTGGTATGCTCTTTTAGCATATTGAAAAGACTTCTTGCTTTAGCCTGGATCATCAGTAGGCTAAGTGGTATGTGCTTCTGTATCTGGTCTTCCATCCAAACAACAAGTAATTTTTCCATATCATCAATTGGCCCAGCTCTTTTCTTTGTGATGACAGTGGATTTAACCGATGCTGATGATTTCACTGCGTCAATGATTCGCTTCTTATCCTTTAAGATGGTTGAAATCGTAGACTGCGAAAGTCCAAACTCACGTGCGATGACCATTACTGGCTTGCCACTTTCATGCTGGGTAATTATCTTGAGTTTCATCTCAAGAGTTATTGCCTTCCTCTTCTTCATCTCACCAGAAGCAAGAAACACAGATGGACACTTTGTAGACATGATGGGATGTGAAAACACAAAACGCAATATCCAAAAAAGCTGGCAACACAGTACACTGTCGAGTATCAGTTGTTTTCCCTCGTGATCACATGGCTGACTGGGAGCTGAGGCTCAGTGCCACTGCCCAGCATCACGAGAGTACTGTACCGCATGTCACCAGCCTGGGAAGAGATCAAAATTCAAAACTCGAAGTACAGTTCCTACCGAATGGGTATTGCTTTCTCACCATCATAAAATTGAAAAATCATAACTTGAAGATTATACTGAATTTTCCAAAAGTGTAGCTATCATATAAAACAAAAGAATATCATCCTTTATTATTTTAGAAAATCCTGTTAGCCCTGCAAAGCTGTTCATGATATTTAAGTACCAATAAAACACCTGTATCAGTCTACATTTGAGGCCATTGGATTCATAATGCTTCTATGTAGAGGTACAAGCAACCATCAGTTTCTTCTTCTAGTGGAACAGTATCCAAGCATTTATAAACAGGGCCACCATATTTGTAGTGCTTGTAAGTGGCACCCTTGAAATTGTGTAGTGTACAATCGGCATAGCATAGGGATGACAGCCCTGGAAATATTTTATCATAAATTTCCTTTTTATTCTTTATGTTAAAATTGGGAGATTATATTAACATTTTTGAAATTATGTTAGAAAGATTATGGAAATAGTTTTAAATATTTCCATCTCAGGATAGTGTATAATTCATATATCATACAATTCACCCTTTAAACTATAGAATTCAATGGCTTTTAACATATCCACAAAGTTGTGCAACCATCAGACTACCTAATTCCCAAACATTTTCACTGTTACAAAAGAAACCCCTTTATCCATTAGCTGTCATTTCCCATTTTTCTCTCCGCTGGTGAACACTAATCTACTTTGTGCCATTGCGGATTTGCCTATTCTGGACATTTTATATAAATGAAATCATACACTATATGGCCTTTTTGTTTCAGGCTTTTATTGTAAATCGTAACATTTTCGAGGTTTATCCATGTTGTGGTATGTATCATTACTTCATTTCTTTTTATGGATGAATAATACTCCACTGTATGAATATACCACATTTTATCCATCCATTAGCATCCCTCTCTCTATTTGCAGTCCTCTCTGGAGTGGTAGGTATTCTTAAATGCCCAATCTCTACAGGCAAGCAAGCAGGATGACCAGGAGACTGCAGTGAGGAACATATTTCTAGCAGAAAGATGTGGTCAACAGCACTTTGACACTTTGTCTATTAGTTTTAGCAAAAAATGGGTTGTCTTTGGTGGGGCAAAAACTAGTTTGAGGTGGGGTCAAGAAATAGAGACGGGCCAGATGTGGAGGCTCATACCTGTAATCCTAGCACTCTGGGAGGCCGAGGTGGGAGGATAGCTTGAGCTCTGGAGTTCCAGACTAGCCTGAGCAAGAGCAAGACCCTGTCTCTACTAAAAACAGAAAAAATTAGCTGGGTGTGGTGGTATGTGCCCATAGTCCCAGCTACCTGGGAGGCTGAGGTAAGGAGGATCATTTGAGCTCAGGAGTTGGAGGTTGCTGTGAGCTAGGCTGACAATATGGCACTTGCCCAGGCAACAGAGTGAGACTGTATCTCAGAAAGAAAAAAAAGAAATAGAGGCAGAAATTAAGCAAAAAGAAAAAGCAATGGATATAAGGGGACACAGAGAAAAGGAAAAGTAAGGGTTTTTTTTCTCTTAAGAAATAATGAGGCCGGGTGCAGTGGCTTATGCCTGTAATCCTAGCACTCTGGGAGGCCAAGGCAGGAGGATCACTCAAGGTCAGGAGTTCGAAACCAGCCTGAGCAAGAGCAAGACCCTGTCTCTACTAAAAATAGAAAGAAATTAATTGGCCAACTAAAAATATATAGAAAAAATTAGCCGGGCATGGTGGCACATGCCTGTAGTCCCAGCTACTCGGGAGGCTGAGGCAGAAGGATCACTTGAGCCCAGGAATTGGAGGTTGCTGTGAGCTAGGCTGATACCACGGCACTCTAGCTGGGGCAACAGTGAGACTCTGATTCAAAAAAAAAAAAAAGAAGAAGAAGAAGAAATAACACATTTAAATGTCAGCGGGATGGAGTCAGATGAAAGGTAAGTAGATGCTCAAAATAGATAAAGTCTTTTTTTTACGAAGGGATTTCGTCTTGGAAAGGAAATGGAGCACCTTTCCCAATGTGAGTTTTAGTCAGGTTGGTCTGTGGATTTGGAGGCAGAAGTTATTCTCTGGAGGGAAGGACATCATACAGATGACAAAGTGAAGGAGAGAAGAGAAAGACTGAAATAAAAGGTATGGTAGAAATGACGAGGAAACTACCTAATCACTTCCTCCAAACATATAAACTATCCTGTATCCACATTCATCCTTCACCCTCCCCTTCTATTAGAATGGATAGTTAGTTTTATCCAAGTTTGAATTTTGCCAAGAGTAAGCAAGCACCAAGACACAGTGGTGCAAAGGAATTGAGGATGAGGACAAGAATGACTGAAATGATAGACCATGAAACCTATATTCTTAGAGAATGATTTAAGGACAGCAAAGTGATAAATGCTATTTATCTAGACATGCTATTAAAGAATAGGTGTGATGAAAGTAGGCTGGAAAGGCAGATGGCTGTGGTTAGAGAGAGATGCCTTGATTTTGGAGATGGAAAATTAGTGTGTCACTAAGTTCACCTACCTTCTCAATTCTTTTCGATTTTTATGATATACTGCCTCCTTCCCTCCAATACTGGTTGTACACAAAGTAGGAATACACACAAAATCCCTTCTTCAATGGAGTTCACA